AGGATTTAAGGACTCCTGCTTCTAACAGTCGGTGGATATGGGGTGCTATCCCTTTCCTAGCCTCTTCTGGTATTGGATACTGTCGGACTCGGATGGGCAGGGCTGTGGCTTTGAGCTGAACAACTGGGGGCAGATGTTTGGCGAGACCAATTCCTCCGGTTTCGGCCCATGCAGAAGGGAACTTCTGCAACCAAGAGTCCGTTTCTCCCTGGCCCCCCTTTTCTTGATCTGCCTGAAACAGGCGATGCTCATCGGCTAGGGATAGGGTTAGCACATTCACCGGTTGTAGGAGCTGCCCTTCTTTGTCCATGATCTTTATCCCTTCAGGTTCAAAATGGATGCACGCCCCGACTTTGGTTAATAAGTCTCTGCCCAGCAATGGTGCGGGGCTCTCAGGTACGACCAGGAATGAGTGGGAGACCGGATGCCTTCCTAGGTCCACTCTTCTGTTAGTAGTCCAGGCACATTTCTTGGACCCTGTCGCTCCCTGGACTATACTTATGTGTCCTGGGTTTAGGGGGCCGTGAGCTTGGTTAAGAACTGAATACTGTGCCCCAGTATCTACCATGAACCCAATGGGAGTCCCCTCCACGCACAGGGTTACCCAGGACTCAGGGAGGGGTGCCGAGCCCCATCCCCATCAATTTTCCTCTCCTAAGTGGAGGGTCTCAATGGGGTTCCCTCCCCCTTGTTCCTTCCTTTTTGGGCCCTCTCTCTTCCAGTGCCCATATCCCTTACACAGGGCGCACTGATCTCGTCCTAGCTGAGATGGGAGGGGTCCCTTTTTTTGAGGTGATCTAGGGCTCCCTTTTACCCTGGCTAAGAATATCCTAGCCATTTCTTCTCTCTGCTTCTTGTTCTCCCTCTTCTGAAACTCTCTGTCTTCTTTCCTATTTTTCTCCTGTACTTCCCATTTCTCTTTCTTCAGCCTTTCTTCCCTATATCCTCTGGAGTCTCTCTAGCATTGAAGACTTTCTCCGCTTGCTGCAGCATTTCCCTAATAGAGATCTCTCCTAAGTCATCCCGCTTGTGGAGTTTCTTCCGGATATCGGGGGCTGCCTGGTTGATAAATGAGAGTACTACAGCTGATCTGTGTTCCTCTGCCTCTGGGTTTATGGGGGTATATTGCCTGTAAGCATCAAAAAGCCTCTCCAGATACGCGGCTGGGCTTTCCTTCTCCCCCTGAACAATAGTTTTTACCTTAGCTTTGTTAGTGGGCCATCTGGCGGCCGCCTGGAGACCAGTCATTAGAGTCTGGAGGTAGACCTGGAGACGCTCCCTACCTTCTGCCGTCCCGAAGTCCCAGTTTGGGCGTGTAAGTGGAAATGCCTCATCGATGATGGGCTGGAGGGTAGTAGGTCTTCCATTTTCTCCGAGGACATTTTTTCTGGCTTCATTGAGGATGCGCTCTCTCTCTTCCGTTGTGAAGAGGGTGCGGAGTAACTGCTGGCAGTCATCCCAAGTGGGACAATGGATGAACATAATGGACTCTACCAAACCTATAAGGCACTTGGGGTCCTTTGAGAAGGGAGGATTCTGAGTCCTCCAATTATAAAGGTCACTAGATGAAAAGGGCAATACTGATATTGCTGGGCTCCGCCCGGACCGCCTGCACCAATGGCACGTACGGGCAGAACCGGCACTGCTTCCTCTGAGGTGGAGGAGGGAGCCTCCCTTTCTTGCTCCCTTGCCCCTCGAGGCCTCAACTGCATTCCTCCCGCTCTATCTGGCGCCCAGCGTGGGGCCAGGGCGGGGTTGCGTGAGGAAGCTCTTTCCGACCTCCTGCCTTCTCCTGCTGAAGAGTCTGGGGAAGCTGTGGCCGCCTGGTCCCTGCTGGGCTCCCCAACCTCGTTTTCTACCCCTCCGGCAGCTTCACCCCCTTCTCCTGCATATGGGGGTGGCTGCTCAATCGGCAGAGGGGGTAGAGGGGGGAACTGTCAGGGAGAACTGGCAGCGCACTCAGGCGCACAGGGTTCTTGGCCCTGTGATGAGAGGGTTTTAACTCTTCCTGGGAAACTAAAACGGAGGTTTTAAGTGGTTCTACGTGAGATTTCCCCATCAAAAAGGGCCTCAGCCAGGAGGGGGAATTCTTGGCCAAATTCTCCCAGACAAGAATATAGGGAAGTTGGTCAGGGTGGCTCTCAGGGTCTGGCCAAGAAATGACAGCTTTGACCTTGTCAATAAGTTCCAGGGAAAGAGACCCCTGGGTTGGCCAGCCTACTCCAAAGGAGGGCCACTTGACTGAGCAAAAGGTATCAAGCTTACTTTTCTTGATACTAAGACTCATGTTTAGGGCCTGTTCCTTGACCTTCGGAAAGTGGGAAAGGATCAGACCTTTAGGAGTAGCCTGAGTTTGGCCCATGGTGAATAATACAAGGAAGACAAAGGCGAAAGGTAGAAGTGCCACTTTAAACAAGATGACTGGTGTATGTGCTTGTGAACAGGTGCCTGTCGTTGCACAGTTTTTCTTCTGCGGGGGACACGAATTTATCTGGGATTTGCGGCTGTGACCCCCTTATCCTGTCACGGGAGTCTTCTAGCGGCAGGCGCCCTAATGGCTCTTAATTGCCTGACCCGTGCCCGCAGGGGAATGATTTAGTGGCTTAAAGGAGGGATGGAAAGAACAGGAGAGCCTCAGAGTAAGAGAAACTTAAAGGGAAAAGCACAAAAAGAAATATAAACCAAAACACAATAAAACAATCAACAATATCACCAAACACACACACCACATTTGATCACACTCGCTTGGACCGGTCCTTCTCTCACTCTGGTGCGCACCACACTCACCACTTTCAGGATCCTCAAAGACTCGTGACTCTCCCGAAAGGTGTCCACTCGGACTGCCGCAGGGTGACGAGCTCAACCTTTTCCTCCTCAGGCGCCAGATTCCTGCCGATCCGACTTGCCTTCCTAAGGCCGAGTCACTCGGACCTTAGCGCCAGGATTGGTTACCTGGGCTTCACCCAGGGTCACTAAGCTGGGGGCCGGGATTACCAACCCGGACTTCCTTACTCGGGATCACTAACCCGAGACCAGACACGGGATGGTGACTCCCGCTTTATACTGGATTTATGCAGACACAAGGGGGCGACCCTCAAATTACACTGCCCTGTCCGGACAATTAGACCTTGCCTCCAGCCGTCCCTTGTTCTCAGGGAAGTCGCTCAGATCCCGGACGAGCCCCCAAAATGTTAGGGTCCTGGACTCCGAGGCCTCTCCAGAGAACAAACCACACGGGCACGGAGATGTAAATCCAAGCAAAGTCTTTATTCAGCCAGCTAGCTGGGGTCGACAGCACCTCCCCCGACACGCAGGCTGAGTCCGAGCTGCCGACCCCCAAGCAACTTTAGGTATGGTTTATATGGGATTTCTACAGTCATTGCACCGGAGCCTGCACATTACCCCAACCAATGAATTTAAAACACATTCTATACTTTGGCCAATAAAATTGGAACAGGGACACACCAGGTGCCTGACCTTTGCACAAGCATTCCTATGTGACTTATGACGAGTTTCGACCCCAGGGGAGTCGTTTACTTCTAGTTATCTAACTTAGGGTAGGGTCCAGGAATGTTAGCCTCAGGCAGTTTCTATGTAAACTGGGTGGTTTTGCTCTAGGGTGCAGCTAAACTTTATTCTGATATTTGATGTTCCCTGCATTCCTTTACAGTAGGTTGTTTGGAGAACTGACAGATGGCATTAAGGGGCCTCACCTCTCCTACCATGGCTAGTGTCCTCAAACATGTTAGCACACTGGGTAGGCCAGGTCTGTTCCATTTCCATTACCAGGCTTTGGTCATGGTATTGAGCCCTAAGGCCAATCCTTCCAGTATCCTTAGGCCTTCCTCACTATGCAATAATAGGCATTTATTGGGCACACTGGATATGCTACACGGTATGCCAGATACTTTTCATATGTTATCTCTTTTAATCCTTACAACGTAACTCATTTTATATATAAGTGAAAAAACTGAGGCTCAGAGAATTTAAGAATCTTGCTTAAGAGCTAGTATTTCAGAGGTTTTTAACCCCAGTGTTGTCTAGCACTAATGAAGTGCTAAGAGTACAAAAATGAGTATAATGCAGACCCTATTTCAAATAGCTTATAATTTAATGGAAACAGACATGTTAGCACATAATTTCATATGAATACCATAAATGCCCTGAGAGAAATAAGTGCACAGAAGTTATGGAAGTCTTGAGGTCATTACTTGAGCTTAGAAGTTATAGGAAGGCATCTTGAATAAAGGCATGTTCAAGCTGAGACTTGATAGTTTAGCCACAGTGAACCTAGCTTCTGGGGCTGTATTATCAGACAGACTTAAAACAGTGGAGAACCCAAAGACCCTCAGGCCTAGAACATTTCTGGCGGTGTTTTACCCATCTGCCTCAGCTCACCTATTCATGTGTAGATATTTCTAACCACTGACCTTTTGGGCTGATAAATAGCTAAGTTCACAAAGAAACTGAAAAACAAAAACAAAAACCCCAAAAATGAAATGCATAGACCTCAAATGATATTAATCCACTCAGTTAAGTATACGATTTCTCAAAAAGTACCATTGTTTTTATGGATTAGTTTTATTAATGCAACATTAATTTTTTTTAATTATAAAGGAGAGATGCTGAATTATTGGTCATTGAATAAGTGAATAGATGAGCAAATGAATGTTGTATCACAGGAGTAACAAAATTTTTTCTGTAAAGGACCAAATATTTCAGGCTTCATGAGCATATGGTCTCTGTTGCAACTACTCAATCCTTTTGTAGCACTAACGCAGCCATAGGTGTTAGGTGTGTGAATGGGTATTACTGTGTTCTAATGAAACTTTATTTACCAAAAACAAAAGATGGCAGGCCAGATTTGGATGTGGACTAGTTTGCCAATCCATTATATACAACAATCAATGCTTTACTGAAGTTACAATTTACAAGGAGTCAAGTGTGTTTGCTTCTTATTAAATGTATGATTTTTTAATTCTGTGCTTATTTATGTATAGGTAACATATCTGGGGAAAGCGCTTGTAAAGTATGTTTCTGAGGAAGTACCCATACCACCAGAGCCAAACGCAGTACCCCAGCAACACCAACCTTGTCTTCCAGGTATGTGCAGACACACACACATTTCTGACTTGTGGGGAAAACATGCCCGAAGCTACTGAGAAAGCACTTCATTTTTTTGTCTTTTTTTTTCTTTCATTCTGGTGCAATTTACATAAAATTCAAGTAACCATTTTAAAGTGAACAGTTCAGTAGCAGTTAGTACATTGACAATGTTGTGTAATCACCTCTTCTGTGTAACTCCAAAACAGTTTCATCACCCAAAATGAAATCCCATAGACATTCATCAGTTATTCCCCATTCTCCACTCCTCCCAGTCTCTGGGAACTACCTTTCTGTCTTTGGGTTTGCATATTCTGAATGTGTCATATAAATGGAATCATATAATATATGTCCTTGTGTATTTGGCATCTTTCATTTAGCATAATCCTTTCAAGGATTATCCATAATACTTCATTCCTCTATGGATGAATATTATTTCATTGCATATACATATATATATATATATCACAATTTGTTCATTCATCCTTTGATGGACATTTGGGTTTCTACTTTTGGCTGTTAGGCATAGTGCCACTATGAACATGTACGTACATGTATTTGTTTGAATATCTGTTTTCAGGTTTTTAGGTATATACCTGTGAGAGGAATTGCTGTATCATGTAGTAATTACATTTTTAACTTTTTGAGGAACAGCCAAACTGAACTACTTTACATTCCCACCAGCAATGTACAGGGGTTCCAGTTTTCCCTACATCTCTTCCAATACTTGTTATTTTCTGTTTGTTTATGGGATTCCATTTTTAACCACAGTTGATTCTAGGAGAATTTTTTTAAATGATACCTTCCTTTGCAGTTCCTTACTATGAATCTATGCTGTATTTACTTTGGATAGATTTTTTAGTGTCATATAAAAAGGGAAAAATGGTCATTTTTTCCTTCCTTGGGGCATGATTCAGTTACTTTTCCATATTTTCTAAAAATAAATACTAAAATAAATCTTTGCTCATTAATGTGAACTAATATGCCTTATCTGATGAAATAAGCCTTAACCTGAGAAAATTGCAGAGAATGTGGTCTTCACAATTAGCAACAGATTTTGAAATGATCTGGGAAGGGAAAGCACACATTTCTGTAAAGCAGGCATAACTAATGTTGATGCCCGGGTTCTTGTTTACAGAATCGAAGAATGAACTCCCCAAACACTCAAAGTAGGAGAGCAAGTGAGAGGCTTTTATTCAGAGATAAAGTAAGAGGAAAGAGCTCCTGGGCTGTGCTGGGAGGGGACAAGAGAGTCCGGGTGGTACATTGTCTAGGGGAATTTAGAGGTGGTTGAGAGACAAAGGGCTAGAGATGCAGACTTACCAGATGGTCCCAAAATGTTTATTTTTGAAGAGATACTAAGTTTCTCATTAGTGGGTTATTTTTCAAAGTTGACTTAACACAAAAAATTTACTGCTCTGATTCTTTCCCAGGATAGCCACTTTTTGATCTGGGAGCATGTCAATTAAGACTGCCTTGCTTCAAAGATGGGCTGAGTTAGTGTTTGTTTGATTAAAATGCAATCTTAGCTTTTAGACAGAATTTTTCTTAAATAAGCTGGGCCTTTGATCAGGCTAAAGTAAATCTTAAAATGGTATGTTCTAATTGACACAGTGAAAACATAGGCTATGCTGAGATTTTTTTTTTTATCTGGGGAGTATTCAAACTTCTAGGCCAAGTTGCTGCTGGCTTTTTAGTTTTAACAAATCGCACTGAAAAATGCTTATATTCCTAGTTTGATATTTTTACTTTAGAGAATTAATGTGACTCTGGCTTTGCTTAATTGTTTAACATGGAGTTTTGGTAGGGGTCTTTTTCCAGAGGCCTTCACCCTACTTTGTCTAAACCCACGGTCCCTGGTCCCTGTCTCAATATTATGTTACTCTTGTCTGCTACAGAGCTCCCCTTTTTTCCCCCAATATCCCTATCTCAGACTAGTTGGGGACAGTATTGGAAGAGAGGAGGTACAAAACAGAAAATGATAATTCTCTTGTCATAACAAGATCCAAGAACCAAACAGAGATTACTGTCACCAAGCACCTAACCATGGGGTCCCCAGGGTTATCCTTTTATTACAACAAACCCAATAATTCAATGTATGTACCTCTCCTGACTTTATTCCTAATCCGTGCTAATATCTGAGTGTCTTTGTCCTAAAAACTAGCTCGAGAATAAGATGCATTTTTCCCAGTTTTCTGAAGACAACCTCAAAAGTGCTTGGGGAAACAGGTCAGATAAAACAGCTGTGGGGAAGTTAAAGGGCTTAAGAAACTAGGAATTCTTGTAATAATACACGGTCTTTGGTTCCTAATCCTGACTGCAGACCTACCTAATCAAATCTTGGAGTAGGCCCCAGGAACCTGAATTTTTTTAAATGATTCTTATGCAGCCTGCCTAACAATAGACTGAATAATTAGTAGTATAAGACTTCTTATGCAGGTAACAATTTGAAAACTCTTGAAATTCAGCCCTTCACTTTGATTCCAAAGCACATCCTCTCTCATGCTATCTTTGTCTCTCCCACGCACAGACACACATTTGAAGGAAAGCCAAGCACTACTGAAAGAGTCAAAACACAAATAAAGGTTCTGTCTTGTATCACAAAGGTTATCTGCTCCTCAGATTTTCTAAATTCTAGGCAGACATTTCCAACCCCAGCAATATATCTCTTTCCTGAGGGCTCACAGCTGCCCTACTGAGTGAACGTGAAGTAAAAAGTAGATTCTGAACTGCTGCATCTGTTGCCTGCAATATAAACAGTTTCTTGTTACTAGTTTCTTTCCAGAAATCTTGGATCTTCTTTCCTTTAGATATTTCAGAAAATGTTAATGCTAATTTGAGAACCATGGAGGTGCCAGTATGCCGACCAGCTTCTGGCTACCTTGATAAGGGCTAAGGAATCTCTACGCAGTCCCTGTTCGCATTCTGTAGGCTGCTGTTGGGGTTTCAGTTGAACCTCCTTATTTGGTATTCTGTTGTACCTGGTTTTGTGCTACCTAACAGATACCAAAGACCTGCAAGTTAGAAATGTAGACTCTTAACCCTATTATAAGCAAAGCATTCAGGAGAGAATCTTTATCCCTCTTCATATCAAAATGTGGTCATAGAAGACATGGCTTTGACCATAAAGCCTAATAGAAAAACAAGTCTATGTGGATTTCATCAGCATACTTCAGATCATGAAAATATCTGTTCTCTTATACTTTTTGATGATCATACTCAGAATAGTGCTTTTTGAGGAGTAAGGGAACTAGGAAGATCTATTTACATTTCTCAAAACCAGGATGATCATGCATCCTACTTTGACCAGGGCAGTCCCTAATTATTAGTAGCACTCCCTTTCATTTAAAGATGTGCCTTGTTTGGATGATCCATTACAGAAACAAAGCAAATAAGTGTTGGACAAAAATGAAATTTGGACAAGGTTAAAGAACGAGAAAAAGAAAGAAAAATTACAATTCCATTAACTCATAAGAAATGTATAGATTCTAATATACTACTGTGCAAATAGTCGTATCTTAATGCATATCACTCTGTATTATAAATAATTGCTGGTTACCTAATTTTAATCTTCTGACACCCTGACAGGATCTTTGAGTTCAGAGAGATTTATATGGGCTTGCTTCCTATTATATTCCACAAGGCCTGGTACAAGTAGATTCCCAGGAAATGTTCATTGAGTAAGGTTCATTGAATAAGTGAATGAGTCAGTGGAAGCATGAATATGGTTCAAAGGACAGCTGTTTTAAAACTGGATTTATTTGTGATTGACTGTTCTAATAGGTAGATATGCCTCAATATCCAATTTATTTCTTCATATCATTTTAGATTCAGTGTATCAAGAAAATCCTGAGTCATGACGATAAGTGATATAGTCTTTATTCTTGCCATTTTAAGACTCTTCAATGAGCCAGAGATGATGGGAGAACTTTATTCTGAGTTAGACACAAAAACTAGTTACATTGATAAGTCAAATCAATGTATTGATGGACTCCAGAATGTTAAAATGTGGTATGGTAACACATTTGAGAGTATGTTATTTCTAATTAAAGATTTTAAACATAAAAATACCAACCTTTAAAAATGAAATTCTGTTGAGGAAATGTTAGTAAAATCTCTGAAGTATCTCTCTCTAAAGACTTTTTAAAGTTTACAATGGAGTGAGTCTATGGTGTGTTTGTTTCCCCTTGAAATTTCACAATTTCCTCGCAAGCCTCTTTCCTCTCTGCCTACTTGGCTGTAGTTCCTCTTCTGTGTTACTTAGGGAATCTTCACTGATATTTCAGTATAAATTGGAAGGGAAAAAAATGAACATTTCCAAAACTTCTGTATAATTTTCATACAGATATATTGACATGTTTTTTACAAAGTTCTTTAGAAAAAAATTCTGTGAAGATGAATCACACTTTGTTATGTACCTGAAAAGACAATTTTATATACTTATGTCTCCTGTCGCCATAGTACTAAGACATACAAAACAGGTTAAGCTAAATGTATTCACTTAAGAAAAAGAATTTTTCCTGAAGTATTTCTTGTCCCAAGATTTTATTTAATTCACATTAATTATATAATTTTTTTCATGGGGATCTAACATCATTTGTTCATTTGAAAATAGAACATGCTTTTTTTTGCAGGAAAAAATAGACTCTTCTGTGTATTTAATAAAAATGGTCCTTGAGCTGATAATCTGATGCAAATAAATGACTTTAACAAAACAGTTTTCTTCATTTCAGTGCTGTTATCGTGCTTCATTTCTCTGTAAAAGTATATGTGATAGAGCACAAATATTCACAGGTGCTTCTGTTTTATGTGGTTAAGACCTTCTTAAACTTTAACACCCAAGGAAGATGGGTACTTGATAACAGAGCAGAGGGTTTTTATTTCCTCTGCTATTTACAACTCTTGGTTCTTTTTCATTATTTTAAGCATGATTTCTTCTCATCCTGGTACCATAGTTAACTTTGACCTAATTCATAGAATGGAAGATATATGTCCTGATATAGGAGGAAAGAGAAGAAAACTAATTATCTTTTGAGCACCTGCCATACACTAGGTCCTTTGCAAGATTATTTTACATATTAGGCCATTTAGGAGGTCCTTTTTAGTAGAACTCCAGAGTTTATGTCTGTACAACAAAGGCATACAAAACCTACACACTTTATAGATAAAATCAAGTACCTCAAACCCAGTTCAGCTAAGGGATCACCTACTAAGTTTCAGTTTTTCCCTAAAGAATGGGGGCTTAAATATTTTTAAGCTTCTAAATATGTCCATTTCTTGATTCCAGTACAGGTTTCATAGATGGCTTTTGATCTTATCAATGTAAATCTATATTAAATTATTAATCTCATTTTAAACATTCAATCATATGATACTCTACCACCATATTTATCCTTTAGTATCATTTTGTTTCAAAGGCATTGAATTTTGTATTTAAATAGCCATAAGAGAATTTTTTTCCCCCAGCATAACTAGAGCAGATGTATTTTGTAATCTGTTAAACTAATCCTTAATCATTTTGCCTTTGATTGGTATTATTTCTGATTCAGAAACAGAATGTATACATAAGTATGTTCATTTTCCTTTATAATTGGAGTAAGCAAAGTTTCACTTTCATAATCCTTAATGAACTGTAGAATGCTTATTTGAAAGAATAAGTTCTGGAAGTCTGAGTTCAGCGATTTTAGAATTAGAAATGAACCTTATGTATCAACTAGTCACATTACAGGTGATGAAACTGAGAGCCAGAGAAGTAAAATGGGTTAAATGAAAAGAACTCATAGATTAGTGATGCAGAAGTGAATCATCAATTAAAATAAGGGAAATTTTTTAATTAGAAGAAAAAATAAAAAATTATTTTTTAACCTAATGAGCTTGTCATTTGGAAATGCTGATTTGGGCTACTCATAACATGGCATGAGGTATCTGATGGATATGAACCAATTCTTTTGCCTAGTAGTCAATCTAGCAATTCAGTTTAAGTAGACTTATGCAGAACATCTAACACTTGGTGATATTTATTACTTCAGGAACATTTATTTCTCCCTACCTTGTGCATGAACAGAATGGTTCCTTAGCCATGTAGTCCTTGTTGGGAATGAGGGGCAATAGGAAGAGCCAAACATCCACGTAAATGGCTATTTTCCTGCCTGTACTGGCTGGAGAAGCCATTTAACTTGCTTGAGATCGCACACTGAGTTTGTGTGGCCTGGAAAACTGACCATCCATCTTCCAGCCTAATACTCTTTTCAGTAATAAATAATGATAATAGCAGCTAATATTTATTGAGTGATTGCTGTATGTTAGGCAGCATTTCACATGCAGCATCTCATTTAGTACTCTCAACTGTTTTATTTCCCACTTACTGGAAATTGAGGTCTTGCACAACTACCTTCAGAAGCTTCAATCATCCTTTTCTTGCCTTTGTGTTTAGACTACAGACAGGCCTCTTTCTCCCAAAATTAGCCAATACTGATTTACAGCTTTATCTCAGGTATAGAAAATGGAGCAAATGAAGAATGACCTGGTCAGAAAACCTGTTATGTCTGCTTACAGACTTGACTAGGATCTAGGATTTGTAATAAGTAAATTTAAATCTTCTTTTTTAAAAGGCAGTTTTTAATTTGTTGGCACCTCTTTAAACAGGAACTTCCAGAGAGTCAATGCAGAGCATCCCACATTATCTACAAGTAAATGAAATAATGTTGATCAGCGATCAAGAATTTCTCCCATGCCATATAATGGATCAGCATTGGAAGTTCTATGTGGAAAGTGAGGAGCTAACATTCTAAACTTTTTTTCTTAAACATTTATTAATTATCCATGTTATTAAACAACTTTCATATTTTATCTTGTTTGGACTGGTAGGCCTTCAACACATACTTTATGAGTTGCTACTTAAGATGTGTGTTTACTGTTGTAAGAAAAAATATAACTCCAGTATTATAAGATTAATACTTTTTTGCCATTAAAATAAAGGCATTTTTGAAGTGAACCATATCTCTGATTTTTTACTAATATAAACATAAAACTAATCTTTAAATCAACAACTCTACCTTTGTATAAATAACAGTTGTTCCTTAAAGGAGTAAAGATACAAATAAGACTGATAACTAGTTCTAAAAAGGCTGTGGTAAAGTCAGTCTACTTACAACAAGAGCCTACAGCCCCAATACCTTCCCCCATTTACTTTGGAATTTGTCTTGGAATCAAAATGTAAAATCGTGAAAGAGGTTTAAGTTTCATAAGGCATAGCATAGATAGAATTGTACCTGTGATAAAGCTTAGAATGAAAAATGAATCAAGTATTGATTTGGGGGCTCATTATTTTAAATAGGATATACTTCACCTTGGAGTTTTGCTACCTTGTCATGAAGATTTTATCTTTTTTAAGAAAGAAACAGATGCAAGAGCTTTATAAGTTTTCTCAATGGTCTGTCTAAATCCTTTGACAGTCATCTTATTCTTTACTTGTATAGGTCATCATCGCAGGCTCCTAAAGAAGCTTTTTGACTCTGTGTCCTAATTTTATTCCTTCTCCCTCATTTGGTTAGAGTCAAAACTGTGATAAAAATTAGACTAGCAAATGTTGAGGGGAAGAGAGATAATGGTATTGCTTTTCTGTATTTTCTTATTTTAAATATATAGAATCTTAAATATCTTTAGAATATACAAGGATATGGTTTATAGTTGCCTGTGAGAGAACAATTATGGTGCTGGAGAACTGATGGGAAAGGAAATTTTTTAACTATGTGTACCCTTTGGCACTGTCTATTCAGATAAAAAATTTTAAGTTTCTGAAATGAAAGCACCTGGAAAGATTTGCCTATTAATAAAAGTATATACACATATTAGATAATTTTATTTTTAATCATTTTAAAGTCCATTGAAAATGTTCGGAGTAGAATGACCCTACATGTTGTAATGTCTGAGAATTGACAAGAATTTTATTATTCTACTGTCATTTTCCTTGACTATTGTGTTTTTCTAATTCTTGAATACATGATGAGGTGGTCTATTTGGCTTTTATTATTTAAGAATATATTTAAAACATGGTCCATTTGGGAATATGTGTACTAATATGAGGTATATATTAGTAAGTGAAAAAATGCAAATTGTTAGAAAGTATTTAATACAGATTCTGATTTTGTTAAATAAAAATGACATGCCTTTGAGTATAACCATGTAGATATACATCTTTATAATTAGTATGCTATATATATCTTAGAAGCTATAAACTGTGTATTTATATAAGTATGTATGGGTTGGGTGGAGTTATCTTAATACGTTACAAGTTATTCATATTATTGAACATTATTGCAAATTCAAGGTAAAGGTCTGGAATGCTACAAATAAAATTGCAGTTCCTGTCCCTAAGGAAATTGGACTGGGATGGGTGGAAGAATACTATTTCAGTTTACTTTCAACTTAAAAAAAATACACATATTTCTTTTGTAATTTAAAAAATATTTTTAAAAGAATAACCTTAGTGATTAGAATTTACTGAAGTCGTACATTCTAAGTATATAGTGTAAGAAACCCTGCAATTCTTAGTTTTCATATTAGTGATCAAATTCTTAAACTTAGTTTTCCAAGCCCACTTAGAATTTTCTGTTACCTGTTAAGTGATATAACAGCCAGTATCCTTGAGGCATGCTGAGTATTGTTTTTTTGAGTTTTCTTTCTTTAAATTTTTTTATTAAGGTATCACTGATATATACTCTTATGTAAGTTTCACATTAAAAACACTGTGGTTACTACATTCACCCATATTATCAAGTCCCCACCCACCCCGTACCACATTGAAGTCACTGTCCATCAGCATAGTAAGATGTCACAGAATCACTACTTGTCTTCTCTGTGCTACACTATCTTCCCCCTGACTGCCCCCAAAAATGTGCACGGATCATAATACCCCTCAGTCCCTTTTCCCTCCTTTGGTAACCACTAGTCCATTCTTAGAGTCTGTGAGTCTGCTGCTATTTTGTTCCTTCAGTTTAGTCTCATTGTTATACACCACAAATGAGTGAAATCATTTGATACTTTCTCTGCCTGCCTTATTTCACTGAGCATAATAACCTCTAGCGTCATCCATGTTGTTGCAAATGGTAGGATTTGTTTTCTTCTAATGGCTGAATAATATTCCGTTGTGTATATGTACCACCTCTTCTTTATCCATTCATCGACTGATGGACACTTAGGTTGCTTCCATATCTTGGCTACTGTAAATAGTGCTGTAGTAAACATAGGGGCGCATATGTCTTTTTTAATCTGAGAACTTGTTTCCTTTGGGTAAATTCCTAGGAGTGGAATTCCTGAGTCAAATGGTATTTCTTTTTTTAGATTTTTGGGGAACCCCCATATTGCTTTCCAAAATAGTTGAACTAATTTACATTCCCACCAGCAGTGTAGGAGGGTTCCCCTTTTTCTGCATCCTCACCAGCATTTTTTGCTGTTTGTCTTTTGGATGTTGGCCATCCTGACTGGTGTGAGATGATATCTCATCGTGGTTTCAATTTGCATTTCCCTGATAATTTAAGATAAGGAGCATTTTTTCATGTGCCTATTAGCCATCTGAATTTCTTTTTTGGAGAAGTGTCTGTTCATATCTTCCACCCATTTTTTAATAGGGTTATTTGCTTTTTGGGTGTTGAGGCATGATATATTTTCGATGTTAACCCTTTGTTGGATATGTCATTTATGAATAAATATAGGATGCCTTTTTGTTCCGCTGCTGGTGTCCTTTGCTGTACAGAAGCTTTTTAGTTTAATGTAGTCCCATTTGTTGAGTTTTGCTTTTATTTCCCTTGCCTGAGCAGATTTGTTCAGGAAAAAGGTGCTCACGTTTATATTCAAGAGATTTTTGCCTATGTTTTCTTCTAAGAGTTTTATGGTTTCATGACTTACATTCAGGTCTTCGATCCATTTTGAGTTTACTTTTGTGTATGGAGTTAGGCAATCAACCAGTTTCATTCTCTTACATGTAGTTGTCCAGTTTTGCCAACACCAGTTGTTGAAGAAGCTGTCATTTCTCCATTGTGTATCCATGGCTCCTTTATCATATATCAATTGACCATACATGCTTGGGGTTATATCTGGGCTCTATTCTCTCCCATTGATCTATAGGTCTGTTTTTGTGCTAGTACCTAATTGTCTTGATTACTGTGAATCTGTAGTAGAGCTTTAAGTCAGGGAATGTAATCCCTTCAGCTTTATTCTTGCGTCTCAGGATTGCTTTGACTATTTGGGGTCTTTTGTTGTTCCATATGAATTTTAGAACTATTTGTTCTAGTTTTTGAAGAATGTTGGTATTTTGATAGGGATTGCATTGAACCTGTAGATTGCTTTAGGCACGATGGCCATTTGGACAATATTAATTCTTAATATTCATGAGCATGGGATGTATTTCCATTTATTGGTGTCTTCTTTAATTTCTCTCGTGAGTGTTTTGTAGTTTTCAGGATATAGGTCTTTCACCTCCTTGGTTAGGTTTATTCTTAGATATTTTATTCTTTTTGATGCAATTGTGAATGGAATTGTTTTCCTGATTTCTCTTTCTGCTAGTCATCATTAGTATATAGGAATGCAACAGATTTCTGTGTATTAATTTTGTATCCTGCAACTTTGCTGAATTCAGCTATTAGTTCCAGTAGTTTTGGGATGGATTCTTTAGGGTTTCTTTTATGTAAAATATCATGTCATCTGCAAACAATGACAGTTTAACTTCTTTCTTACCAATCTGGCTGCATTCTATTTATTTGTGTTTTCTGTTTGCTGTGGCTAGGACCTCCAGTACTGTGTTGAGTAAAAGTGGGGAAGTGGGCATCCTTGTCTTGTTCCCAATCTTAAAAGGAAAAGCTTTCAGCTTCTCTCTGTTTAGTATGATGTTGGTTCTGGGTTTGTCATATAAGGCCTTTATTATGTTGAGGTACTTGTCCTCTATACCCATTTTGTTGAGAGTTTTTATCATGAATGGATGTTGAATTTTGTCAAATGCTTTTTCACCATCTGTGGAGATGGTCATGTTGTTTTTTGTGCTTCCTTTGGTGATGTGGTGGATGATGTTGATGGATTTTCAAATATTGTGTCATCCTCACATCTCTGGAATAAATCCTACTTGATCATGTTGGATGATCTTTTTGATGTATTTTTGAATTTGGTTTGCTAATATTTTTTTGAGTATTTTTGCATCTATGTTCATCAGGTATGTTGGTCTGTAATTTTTTTGTGTGTGGTGTCTTTGCTTGGTTTTGGTATTAGAGTGATACTGGCCTCATAGAATGAGTTTGGGAGTATTCCCTCCTTTTATACTTTTTGGAAACTTTAAGGAGGATAGGTATTCGGTCTTCACTAAATGTTTGATAAAATTCAGCGGTGAAGCCATCTGGTCCAGGAGTTTTGCTCTTGGGTAGTTTTTTGATTACCAATTCAATTTCTTTGCTAGTAATTGGTCTGTTCAGATTTTCTCTTTCTTCCTGGGTCAGCCCTGGAAGGTTGTATTTTTCTAGAAAGTTGTCCATTTCTTCTAGGTTATCCAGTTTGTTAGCATATAATTTTTCTTAATATTCTCTAATAATTCTTTGTATTTCTGAGGTGTCCATAGTGATTTTTCTTTTCTCATTTCTGATTCTGTATTTGTGTACACTTTTTTTTTTTGAGAAGCCTCGCTGAGGGCTTATCTATTTTGTTTATTTTCTCAAAGAACAAGCTTCTGCTTTCATTGATTCTTTTTATTGTTTTATTCTCCTCAATTGTATTTATTTCTGCTCTAATCTTTATTATGTCCCTCCTTCTACTGACTTTGGGCCTCATTTGTTCTTCCTTTTCTAGTTTCATTAATTGTGAGTTTAGACTATTCACATGGAATTGCTCTTCTTTCCTAAGGTAAACCTGTATTGCAATATACTTCCCTCTTAGCACGGCCTTCACTGCATCTCACAGATATTGTGGTATTGAGTTATT